CTAATAACTGCTAGCTTTGTGGAATTTACGTTGTCATTTTGTGGCCTGCAAGATGGCCTGTGCCTGGACTAAGGACACAGTGCCATGGCTCTGCTCAGAAGAGGCATTGAAGGAAGTGGTGCTTTTTTCCAGGATGGGAACTTGTTTTCCCCCTCCCTGCAGGCTGCAATGACACATCAAATACAATTGCCCAGGGACTGTTTTCTGGTCTAGAGGCCAAATGGCCCAGCCAGGTTTGCATCCAATAGACCTAAACCCTCCTTCACCTCCTAATACAGGGTGGCTTCATCGAAGTGGCCAGCTGGGAACAGTCCCAGGCAACTCGTACTCAGCAAGATGCATTCAAGACCTGTGCAACATCTTCTCTGTTCTGCTCTGGTGCCTGCAACTGCAATAGATGCCTGGAATGGCGTGCCAACAAGAAGCTATACCCATGGGCAGCCGTACCCATGCCATGGCTACCCCGCCTCCGAGTGCCGCAGTCACTGCCCCATGTCACCACCTTTTGCCCTGGCTGTCGGGGCACTTCTTCATAGTCCTTGGACACATGGGGAGGCTGAGCACATCTGATCGTCACAGCTGCTCTTGCCCCTTCTCCCTGGTTTCACATATTCTCGCTCAAATCCTTTCTTGCTTGCCAGTGGGTACACTGCACATGATTTAACCTGTTCCAAATGTTTCTTACTTAGGAAACAATTTTGGGAAACAGGAGAATTATCCACCGAAATGTACATTGAGAGTCAGGTGGGCTGGTGGGCGAGTGGAGCCCATCAGAGGATGCCCGCTCACCGCTCCCTTTAGCTGGCAGTGCTATAGCTCATTGTAATGGTATCTACAGAGTCCTTGTTTCCTCCCACTTCCCACATCACACCAGCCTGTAAGTGTCTAACTATAGCTTCTCTCTTGCGCTTTCCCTGCTAAGACTTTTTGTATTTTTTTCCTTTCCCTTGTGGCACAGTGGAATGACGTGAAGTGCATTTTATTCTGAAGGAAGCAGGACTCCCCCATTCTGGTGAGTTCTGGGAACAAGTGCCACGGTTTTAGGCCAGGTGCCAAGATACGCATGTCACTCACAGGCACAACTCACATTTGTTTCCTTAACAGTTCCTTTGTGTGCTGGAACACCGTCAAGGTCACAGAGAGAGGGGAAGTTCATCAGGCACTGTGGACCAGGCCTGCAGATGGTTGAATTTTTTAGGACATAACCATGAGCCGTGGAAAGCTGACTCTGGCAGCAGAACATGGGCAGGACTTTCTCTCTACGGTCTGTGCTGTTGTCTTCACAGCAAAGTGTTCAGGTCCTGTAGGTTAATACTAATCTCTCCATTTTATACATGGGAAAACTGAGCTTGAATGCCGTGTTGAAAGTCAGAAACGTCATCAGGACTTGAGTACCTTCACTCTCAGAGCCATCCTTGACCTGCAAAACCACAGTGGGCTGGATCAGTAGCTAACGTAAATCTGGTAGAGCTGTGTTATCTGCAGTGTGGTTGTACTGGTTTGTCCTGGATGGGGATCTGCCCACTCCATACTAGTCCACCCTCAACCCCACAGTTCATTTTCTCCCTTTTCACCACACGCAACAAATCTGCCCCTCATATGCAGATACAGCAGTGAGAGTACAAACAGGCCATGTTATTTTTTCAAATCAAAATTTGAATGTGAACACTTTTAAATATCAGCAACGCTTAGACCAGAGGTTTCCACTCAGGATCATCTCTATTCAAACTCTTCTTCACATTAGCCAGAATAAGCCCAAGTGCCTTACCTCCACCAGCCCCAAGCCTCCCTCTCTCTTCCCATGCATAGAGTAGACTGTGAAAGTGGTGTCTTTATTGCTTTCCAGTCCCTGCTTTATCCAAGAGGATATTTATTTTCTGTAAAGGAAAATACAGTCATATGTCATGCTAGAGGAAAACAACATAGGTGTACACAGGGCCAAAATGATTTCTGATATGAGTCTATGGAGAAGTGTCAGCAGACCTGAACTTGGCTCATCAAACCAAACACTGATTTAGATACCCATCACTAGTGGACAGTTTTAGGGGACTAATGGAGGGATGGAAGGATGTGAGTGTTCAGTTTTGTTCATGACCTCCTGTGTCACACGAGCAAGTCACAGTTTTAGTGAGATTTGGTTTCCCCATATAGAAAATGGGACGCTAACACTGACCAGTTTGAGCCTCTGGATGAAAATAATAAGGATGCTACACACTTTTAGTGATCTACTATTGCAGCTCACTGAATGGTGCCACATGGCATCACTGCATGATGCTCCTCTTGCACATTTGTCATTGCAATGAAATTTAGTTCCTCCAAAATGCTATATAAACTGAGGCTGTAAAGGCTGTCCTATATTACTGTGAGAATCAGCAATTAATGACAGCATTAGATAGATAAGGCAGATGGGCTTTTCAGGCGGGAGGCTCTTTATCATTCCAGCCTAACGGTGGCCTTAGGGAGTGATTTGGAGAGTCACAGACCAAAGTCTCTGGACTCCACTGGCCTACTTCCGAATATTCCTCGTCACGTGCAATCACTCAATTGTACGTATTATGGAATTGTTAACAGTGCACGTTTCAGCCTGAAATTGCCCCTTTGTTTTCCCCTTATCATATTACATATAGCAAACAGTTTGAGCCAGGTACAACTTTTTATTTTAGCTATATCTCATAACAAAAGATTTCTAAGCCTGGTTACTTTTTTCCTATATTGGGAATATTCATTCAGTAATTACCTTTGCC